TGGGTTACTCAGTCTAGGGGTTTGTAACCCACCCTGCAATCAGTTATTCCAGGGTCTCGGAGGGGCGCTACCTGGAAGGGAATGAGCTAAGACAGAAGAAGGAGGCCAAGCAGATTTGTCAAAGCCTCCGTTTATTAGGGACAGGTTACAGTTTATATATGGTAAGGAATGGGGGGCAGGGCAACTGGATTCTTGCCGCGTGTTCCAGGTCACGTAGGCCAGGTTACATTCAGACGAGTAGGCCAGAAGTCACAAGTTGCCACACCTGGTTCCCTGGATAGCTGGAATGTGAGGCGGGTTCCGCTAACAGATTAACAGTTAATTGGGTGAGGGGCAGGTTTTCTCAGTAGAACATAATTATGGGTGTGAGGTTCTCTGCAGACTCCCTAGGGTGATGGTTCCTGTAATGATTTTTAGGGGGGAAATGGCTCCTGACAATTAGCCATATGAGAAGAAATCCTCAAGAATTATAGCACTATCAAGCAGTGAAAATTATGGGGCCGCAGAGGCAGCTCGGCAGTTAGAGCACTCACTGCTCTTTAAGAGAACCTGGGGTTTGATTCCCAGCACCCACATGGTGGCTCACAGCCATCTGAAATGACAGTTCCAGGGGAACTTTTTATTTAAACACGGGAGAAAAGAACACTGGAGCTTGCATCCTATCTAAAGTCCCCAGTCTTTGTAGAGCTGGTTCACCTTCCTCGTGGGCCAGCTGTGCTCAACCCCTTGACCTTCCTCTACTTCCCAAAAGAGAACTAACAACTGCTTGAGATTAGAAGCTTAGATTGGGAATGAGGGTGGATTACCAGGCCCACAGCCTCCAATATCTTGATTTCTTTAACAGTTCCTTAGGCAGCAGTAGGAAAAAGAATCATGTTTAATAGGAAGGACCAAGAATGACCAAAGGACATACCTAAAACAGCTCAGAAACATTTGATAATAAATACTCTGGCAATGCTAAACCTTAGATTTCCCAAACATTTTGAAGTGTAAATATAATTTTCTTTGATGTTTTAAGCCTGCCTCCCAGTTTTGTAAAATATATCTTTATGACTTAAACTGTTCTCATCAAATAGCATTTCAGTTTGGTGCTACAGTAGAGTTTAGACTGTTGTCTGAGACGTCAAATAAATCCAGGTGTTTAAACCAAGTTATGTTTTTCTTTCAGATTTATGAAGGTACTGCACAAATTCAGAGGCTGATCATAGCCCGTGAGCACATTGGAAAGTTTAAAAATTAAAAGGAATTGCTATTGAAAAGATGCTACATCCTCATGTAACTAAATCTCAAGACACTGTTTATGCTTAAGAGGGGGAAAGGGGCTTTATCATCTTTCCCAGGAAATAAAATAAAGATGAGTCACGCAGATCTGTGCAGTTTATTCCAGTGGTGGAGAGTGCCTCTGTTGAACTCCACGGTGAGCTTTTCCAGATGAATTTGCTTTATTGGAACAATGAGTTGTCCTTAGTACCCCCACCCCTAGCCTATGCTGATTTACTCTGTGATCAGTTAGCCATAGCGGGAGAGATCCAGTGCAGTTTTAATGCTCAAGAAAGAACTCAGTGAAAATTCTAAAATAACCATTGAAAACCTGGTAGATTTGGACCCATCAGACTCCAAATACTTAAAAGCATTTCTGTACTAAAGTGTGAATTTTATAGTTTTGAATATATTTACTTGTTTTTCACAAAAGAATAAATAAAAATTATATTTCATTTTCCCCATTATAAAACTAAGAAATTTCTGGAAAATCTTAATACTGCACCAACATTTTACTTGTCTTGTTTAAAATTATTCAGTCAAGCTACTTTAAATTATTTTTCTATGACTCTTGGGGTTTGTATGAAATCTTTGTTCACACACGACTTAGAAAAAGAACTGAAATAAACCAAGCTGCACACTATTCCATGGTGTCGTGTGTCTGTGTGCAGTTTTAGTAGATCTTCTGTTAGAGACCACAGAAAGTGCCGGGCGGTGGTGGTGCACACACTTAATCCCAGCGCTCAGGAGGCAGAAGCAGGCAGATCTCAGCCTGGTCGGCAGAGCGACTTCCAGAACAGACTCCAAAGCTACACAGAGAAACCCTGTCCCGAAAAACAACAAACAGAAAGACCACAGAAAATATAAACATGAAATAATGGCCAGAGTTTGTGAATTCGGTATTAAGTACTTGAGAAGGAAATTAAGCTAAGTGACAATGTTTCCTGGTTCTTCTGTTCTTTGATATCACGTGTTTCCGGACAGACTGTGACCCTGAGCCCTGGGCCACAGGAGTGTTCCCTTCTGTTGCTTTTGTCAAGGTGTTTGTTGTAGCAACAGAAACAACAAAGACAAAACTACACCATTTCACACATTCTGGTCTTCAGGCGCCCTGTACTCTGCCCAACAAAGTTACAAATTCAGGTGTTCCCTGTAGTTGTTTTTTTTTTTGTTTTGTTTTCTGCTTGTCTGTTCATTTTTCTTTTCCTGGGCCCACCACCCAGCTCCCAAATAAATACATGGTTACTTCTTACTTAGGAATGCCTGGCCTTAGGTTGGCTTGTTTCTAGCCAGCTTTTCTAGCATAAATTATCCAATTTCTCTTTAACTACATTTTTGCCTCTGGGCTTTTTACTTTTAGATATCTTTCTTTCCTTCTATTCCGTGGCTGGCTGGCTGGCTGGGTGACAGGCCCCTGGCGTCCTCCTCTCCTTCTTTTCCCACCTCTCACCCTAGTCCCTAGATTTCTCCTATTTATTCTCGCTGCCTCACCTGTTTCTCTCTCCTGCCTCGCTATTGGCCATTCAGCTCTTTATTGGCCTAATCAGGTGTTTTAGGCAGGCAAAGTAACACAGCTTTACAAAGTCAAACAGATGCAACATGAAAGAATGCAATATGTCTTTGCATCATTAATGACAAACGTTCCACAGCATAAATAAATGTAACACATCTTAAACCGATATTCCACAGCAGTTCCCACGACCCCTCCCTCAGCTGTAATGATAAGCTGGAAGGCTCAGAGCTCAAGAAAACACTTACTTACATGTGTCCATTATATCTTATAAAGGATACATCTCAGGAACATACCCTTAGTTTTTTTTAAAAAAAAAAAAAAAAAAAAAAGCTGGGCACTGTCGCGATTTAAAAGTAGGTCCACACTAGCCCAGAATGGAATACAGCAGAGGTTTATTTATTTGGGAGCACAGATCTGCAGGCATCTGCGTGCCCCGGGAACTGGAACCGAGTCCAGCAGCCCAGACACCACGGCACATAACCAGAATCCCAACACTACTGAGGCAGAAGGATTATGAATCTGAGGCAAGCTTGGGTGACACAGCAAGATTCCTTGGGGAAAAAAAGCTGGGCTGAAAACTCGGCAGTTAAGAGCACTTGCTGTTCCTGAAAGGACCCACCATGGCTCACAACCGCCTGTCATTCCTGCTCAAGGGATCCAATGCTAACGTTGCGCCTTTGAGCACCAGGCATGTGTATGATGTACATACATACATGCAGGCAAAAAGCATTCAAGCACATAAAATAAAAATAAATCTTAAAAGTGTTTATAAATTACTATTATGACCAAGGTAATACTAAGTAATCGCGTATGTGCTTTGCATGTTCAATGTGTTTTGCATGTGTGATGCCTAGCACACACCCCCAGTTGTATCTAGCCGCAAGTACTATAGACCTTAGCTTGAGCTGTTATGTCAAAATCCCATGAAGTGTATGGTTTAGCAATAACAGAAAAGTACTTCCCTCACTGCTGGGACCTGTAATTCCAAGAGCAGACTGCCAGCGCAGCTGGTTTCTGGCGAACGCGCTCTGCCAGGCTTCTGGCTACTGTCTCTTGTAGTATCCTCGTAAGGCAGAAAGAACTGTAGCGCGGAAAATAAAAACCCAGAAACGGATGTTGGGGTTCAATTCAAGGTCAGAAAACGAAGCAGCCAGCCACTGCCTCTCACCTCTACTTCAGACTGAAAATAGGCTATCCCGCCTCCATGAATCCTCAGATTGAGACTGAGCAGGACACCTGACTCCTCCCACTTTATATTTCTCTCTAATGCTGGGATGAAAGGTGTGTACAACCACTGCCTGGCCTGTATGCTGGCCTGTGTGGCTGCTTTGCACTGATCTTTAGGCAAACTTTTTTTATTAAAACACAAATAATATAGCGCTATAAAGTACCTGGTGGTATGGCCTCTGGGAAAGGGCGCTCATCCCACTTGTTAGGGCTCCACCCTTGGGACAATTAGCTCTCAAAGGTTCTGTCTCCCACAGTCACTATGGGGATTAGACTTAAAGATCTGAATTATGAACAGACACAAGCATGCAGTTTATAACATGTGAAACTTAACAGCAGTAAAGTCAACTAAGAAGCTTAGAAAATTGTTTGTTTGGTGTTTTTTGCTGTTGTTTTTTACTTTTTTGAGACAGGGTCACTATGTAACCCTGGATGGCCCAAAATTTTGTAACTCTGCAGCCCAGACTAGCCTTTAACTCATAGAGATCCACCAGCCGGCATCCTGGGTGCCACAAATTAAGGTGTGCCCCGCCACACTTGTCCTGACATTTGTAATTTAATAGATGTCTCCGAGCTAGCAATTTCTATAAGAACACTTTTTCATGAGCCTTTCCCCTTCTGATAACCCGAGTAAGCAAACCTCCCCCAGGAGTGGCCAGGACTATCTCTCAGGTGATTTCTGATCCAGTCCAAGATCACATGCCTGGCATTTTCAAAGGTGTGAGTTCAATCCCCAGGACCTTAAAAAGCAGAAAAGGGCCAGGCGGTGGTGGTGCACGCCTTTAATCTCGGCACTCGGGAGGCAGAGGCAGGCGGGTGGTCTACAAGAGCTAGTTCGAAGACAGGCTCCAAAGCTACAAAGAAAAGGAGGAGGAGAAGGAGGAAGAGGAGGGAGGGGGGAAGAGGAGGAGGAGTTAAAATGAAGAGGTTAAACCGTAAGTTACTAATATAGAGTAAAAAGTAATCATTATTTTTGTAGTTTCGGGGCCCAAATCCAAGAGCTATTCCACGATAAGCATGCATTTTTATATGCTATCTTTTAAACATCTTTCCATAGCATATGTGGCGCTTTTTGTTCTTTTTAATTAACTGGGTAACAGATATACCATAATTTATTCTTTTTTTTCCCCTAGAGAATCTATGCCAGGCTGGCCTCCAAGTGCCTACACAGGTGGGGATTTGAACTACTGATCCTTCCGTCTCCGCTTCCCCAGTGCTAGGATTCCAGGTGAGCACCGCCACTCCCAATTTACACAGGGGCTGAAACCGATCCCAAGGAAACCACTCTTGGAGCTGAGCGACAATTCCAGCCCGGGGTCCTTCAGGCGGAAGCGTGGCCGGCTTCGTTGTGACCGCGTAGTCCTTCAGGCAGGAGTGCGGCCGGCTAAACGGTGACCGCGGGGTCCTTCGGGCTGCGCGGAGCCGGCTGGGGAGGGCGGGCGGGCGCGTGTGCGCAGGCGCGCGGGCGCTGACTCCCCGTGCTCGGGCGGAGCTTCAGTCTTTCTGCGCGCGGACATGGTGAGAGCCGGATGGGGTCGGTGCTCGGGAGTCGGGCGGCTGGGCTGGCTGGGCTGGCTTGGCAGGGGGCGGCGGGAGGGCCTGCAAGGCTCATGCTCTCTTCTGGAGCCCAGGCTGGCCTAGAGCCCCCGGCCATCCTCCTGCCTCCGACTCCTCAGGCCGGACTGGGAAAGTTCCTTGCGATTGCTCAGCGTTTTCCGCAGTTCCTCTGGGCGGCCTGATTTCGTTCCCTGTAGCAGGGATTTGGGTGTGCCTGTGTAGTCGTCCCCCGCTCCTCGTTATACCTGATTTTGAATGCTTTTTGTAAATAATAATTTGGGATATATAGGTTTTTGAAAACCGTTAAAGATACTGTTTCAAAGCTAAAGATTTTTAACTGGAAAGAACTAGCCAGCCTAGGCCCACACCGGAGGCAGAGGCAGGCGGATCTCTTGATATCGAGGCCAATCTGGTCTACACAGGGAGTTCAAACTAGGCAGGCCTTCATAGCACAGACGGTAAATCTAAATTTTGGTAATTCGTTTGACCTACTTGTGTTTGGAAGCGAGGTAGACTTCTTAGATGGTAACGGGGTCAACATTTGAGGACTCGAGGTGTTCTGAAATCTCAACCTCGTTGAACGTGTCTGCGTTCGACAAAAACGGTCATTTCAGGTCAATGATGAGCTGGCATGTATTCTGAATCTAAAGTTGATTATCAACCACTTTAGCTCTAGAATTACTCTGAGACCTGAAGATGCCGGGAACACATTTGAGGCTGGGTTGTTTTCAGGACGATGAAAGCAACGTAAAGAAAAAAAACCTTACGCGGATGTTAAGCGTGTATATAAAGGGTCGGACCACGTGACT